TAGAAAGAAATTTGAATCGTGTTATTACCGACTATTATGGATTTGATTATTGTAACTTTGTAATAGTTAAATAAAAATCTATATTTATTATTAGAAAATTGACAAAAACTTTTCGTTGCGTATCGTTTAGCATTCGGTTAAACTTTTGTCCGTCCATCAATCACATTAACAAGGATCCAATTTGTCGTGACTTATGTCTAACGAAATATAGACGAGACGTATAATTGGACGTTAGTTCAAACCGGGGAATAACTCTAACAAACTTGACATTTCCACGAATCGTGCGCAGCGGACATATCCATCAGTTTGTTAATTCCGATTTATTTTACTGCGCGCAGAAGTAATGCTAACTGTACTTTCGTTCAGTAGTATGGACGACGTCACATCAAGTTACACATTGTGCATCTTATGAAGTTATAATATGGGCGATTTCGCAACAAAAATGTATAATCTGATGAGCTGTCGACTGTACACTGAATATTTTCGTTAATAGTGAGTTAATTTCATCATAGATTTTACAAATAACTGATCACATTTTAGATTTTGCCAAACCTTTAAGCAATGTTTTGTAATCGATCAAATTATTGTCCAAATGGTACACTAGTTTCTAACACAAAAGAAAATTTTAAAGCCATTTACTTTCTGCAAATAGGCTTTTATAAAGCACACTGAGAAGAAGCAGCGCAAGAAGCTCATTAAAATTGATAAGTCTATCTGCAAGTCTATAGTCAAGAATAAACGTGCCCAGCTCATGACAAATCAAACATTCCTTTGCCATGCCCTAAGCACAAAGCCTATTCCACAAAGAAATATGAAGAACAAAGCGCAACGGCCCCACTCACAACTATTCCACGGCTTCTGTCGCCGATCGAATGTCTGATTTCAATCTGGGGGCACGGCAGTGCCCCCACCAAGTCGAGCAAAAAAGCGGCACGGCCGTACCATCCTTTTCTCGAAGCAATTCAGGCCATTTTCGACCGCCTGTAACTTCGTTGTGGATAAAACTAGAAGGCTGAATTTTCATTAGCTATGCAGGCATTGTAAAGACACGGTATATTTAAAATTTCATTCAATTTGAACCAGTAGTTTAAGAATTATAACGGGTCAAAGTTACTTAATTTTGTCACTCACTGACTCACTGACTCACTGACTCACTGACTGACTCACCGATCATCAAAATTCTAAGGCACTTCTAGCAGACCTAGAAGCTTCAAATTTGGAATATAAGTAGTGTTTGATGTATGAATCAAGGAAAAACTAAAATATTTGGGGGCACGGTAGTGCAACCGCCAAGTCGAGTAAAATTTTTCAATTTCGGTCCAGTTTTCTAGATACATAACTGCTGTCTACAAAATACAAAAAGAAATGAGATCCCATCAAAAACAATACTTGTCAAAAAAACCAAGTCTCGCAACTCAGTTGTTCTACGGTAAAAAGTTGTGAGATCCATGTAATACCAAGTCCAGGCCAGGAAATCTTTAACGTTTTACATAAATATATTGACTTGGCCATCGCATGAAAACACGTGTAAATTAAATTATTTAGTGCGATGGCCAAGTCAATAATTTATGTAAAACGTTAAAGATTTCCTGGCCTGGACTTGGTATTACATGGATCTCACAACTTTTTACCGTAGAACAACTGAGTTGCGAGACTTGGTATTTTTGACATTTAGATTACAGCTAAACATGCAGCGCAAACGCTTATCTCACAAGTACACCTGTTAAAGTCACAATAATTTATGGATACGCCCCGTGCCGTTCGGCCTGTCGTTAACGTAAAAGATCTAACCGCGAATTTCCTTATTTGAAATTTGAAATGAGAACGTCGAATGCCGTGGGGCGTTGTTTTTGAAAATTTTATGGCCAGTATTAGGGAGATATACGGTAATGACGTTTGCTGAAGAAGATTTCAGTTTAATTATCTAATTTATTTATTTATTTATTTATTTAAAATCTTTATTGCACACATAAAAATACAGTGGTACAACAGGCGAGCTTAATGCCATGTTAAATTTAATGGTATAAAAACTCTTTAGATTATAAATAAACATTTAACAGACATTTTTAATATCAAAATTGAAGAGTAAACACAGAGATTAAAGGAAATAAATACCAATCTCGAAGCTTAGCGGTTACCAGTTAAGGAATGTACGAAGTTTTAATTAATTTGATCAAGTTTACTTCGATAACAATATTGTTGGAAACATAATCTTAATTTCGAAACCATCTACCATCGTTACTAGAGTCTATAAATTTTCACTTTAGTCTTTAAGTCGCCATTCAATAGGTTTAGCGTTTCGTAAATTTACGAGGAAGGTGTCAAGTAAAAGATACTTAATGAATGTTTTGGAAGCTGAAATTGAATCTTATCATAATCTCTTCATCAAAGTTTTGTTGTAACACCTGAGATCGACTTGTGATAGAATTACTATGAAACACCATTTTGAAGAATTTACATTCTGGCCATTTAACTTAGGGACAATATTATCCCATCAAAAACAATACTTGTCAAAAAAAACCAAGTCTTGCAACTCAGTTGTTCTACGGTAAAAAGTTGTGAGATCCATGTAATACCAAGTCCAGGCCAGGAAATCTTTAACGTTTTACATAAATTATTGACTTGGCCATCGCACTAAATAATTTAATTTACACGTGTTTTCATGCGATGGCCAAGTCAATATATTTATGTAAAACGTTAAAGATTTCCTGGCCTGGACTTGGTATTACATGGATCTCACAACTTTTTACCGTAGAACAACTGAGTTGCGAGACTTGGTTTTTTTGAAAAAATTATTTTAGCTAATAAAAACATTAACTTTACTTCACCGTGTCTATTTTCCGACACTACACCTTTTAAAACTGTTTGTTTAATTTCGAATTATCGCAACACTGAAGTTTATTAATAGGTACTTTAGAGATGGTACGATTATACAAACTCCACTAGATTAAAGTTTTCTAATCGTAAATACAATAAATGCTTCTTAAAATTAAGTTTTTATTTATTTTACTTTGCTCATACAACCCTGACGCTTGAGCGGTGACGTAGATCAATTCTTAACACAAATAAAATGCGCTCTTGTGAGCGTAGTAGTAAGGTGCGATTTCGAATGCACCATGTGCGTTGGATATTTTGCATTATTATTATTACCGTTAAAATGTCGGCATCTGATCCTACACAAAGGAGTGCAATTTCTGTTGCTACTATTATGTATTCTGTGATAAAAGCACTAAACGATATTTATTTACTTTTAGTGCGACATCGGGTCGTAAGGATCTCATAAGTTTTTTTTTTCCAAATATTTACTGTGTTTGACGAAACAATTGCAAAACAATATTTATCTTTCGTTCTACTGAAAAAGCCGAATATTACCATCCCACACCAACGCATCCAGCACCTAAGGTAAATTCGACCCGATAACGCAGTGTGAACGTGTTATGTATGCTTTTTTAATAAAAAAAAATCTTTGAACATCAAGTGCCTTTAAATAGTTTCCATCCTTTGACTACAACTTAATAAAAATAAGTACCATAACATAATTATTTTGAAGATTATTTGATACAGACAAAAAATAATTTATACAAATCGAATTATTTAAAAAAGTATCCCAATATTGAATATTTGGTGCCCATTTCTTTTATTTTTGAGGACCAACAAGTAACGATCAGATATAATTTTTACATCTCGTAATACGTAATAAGGTATAAACCTGTGTAATTAAAATAAATAAATAAATCTCAATTTTTTTTGCGTAGTTCAAAAGAGGTTAAAATATCGATCGATTTCATTTATTTTATGTCTCAAAGAAAGAGGATCAATCATTAAAATAGATGATCATTTAGATTTTTTTATTTGCCGTTTTTGCTAATTTAAAAAGATCATTTAAATACATGCCTTTAACTTAATTTACCATAATCAAATTTAAATTTAATTAATTTTCTTAATATTGTACATTTTTTTTTGTAGATACGAGTAAGTCAGGTAAAAGCTCCTATGTTTGTATTTATGAATCAGAATCCAACCATCCTAAATTACTTTCAGTTCTGTTTGTACCAAGAAAAGTTTTGCGTCTTTACAACTAGCGTCTTCAAAATTCTGCCATTTTGCTCACAACAATGGCGTCTAGACTATACAAAGCACACCAGCTACTCGTATTTCAGATACACAGAGTCCATACGTTGCGGTTAGTTTACATTGTAACTACGGACCTGTGTCAGGGCGTGTCGTGGTGGCTTTACGTTGTAGTGTCATGTTAATTCTCTTTGAGCTGAGATGTAGTTATTGGAATAAGTACGAAGTGCAAATCTTGAAAACTCATGGTCAGTATTCAGTATCACTGATACTGACCATAAGTTAAAAGTCTACATAGGCACTGGCCTATGCAGACTTATTTTTTCAAATTGAGCTTTTATTTTGGTGACTAGATTTACATACCTTACTTAAAAAGTAGATTTTTATTTTAAGTTATAAAATTCAAAGAATCTGTATAAATAGTGCTCTTAAATTTACACTAAAAGCAGTAACGGTCATTTTCTAGTCAAAAATATTGCAGTATAGATAGCATCAGAATATTTTTTCATCAAAATGACACTTAAAAAAAAACAAGTGCTTAGCTTACTGTCCGGTCGTTTGTACATAATTTCATAAAATTTCATAAAAAGTGGGTTTTAGGGCCCTAGCCCACGGCGACTTTTTGTAGCGATGCAATCGCGCTGCGGTAGCGCGTTAGTAGCGCGTTGGCATCACTTCTGTAGTGCGTTGCAAATGCGATTAACGCGCATTAGTAGCGATGCCGTAGGCGAGGGCCCTTAGAGCGTTTTCACATTACGGCGTTAGAAGCGCGACAGCAGCGCTGCAGCGGCATTTTTATAATGTGAAGGCATGCATCCGCTGTCACATAGTATGAAATTTTCGGCAGCGCGTCAGTCGCGCGTTTGTTGCGCTGCTTAATCGCCTAAATGTGAAAGCACTCTTAGATACACAAAAGAAAAACAACTCACCTTTGATAATTATGTTGCTGGTTGTGCATCAGCGGCTGGGTCGGCTGCGCCAGCAACAGTTGCTTCTGTTGCTGCTGCCTCTGCAACATTTGCTTCCCAAACACCCCATACCCGAAGCCATAGATCTCATCCTCTTCCTTGTCCGTGAGACAGCTTGACGGCTGTTGATAACAAAACTGTTTAATATTATTAGACATATATCCTTCTGTTTAAAATAAAGCCATCACTCGAAAAGGCAACATTGAATTTTGCTTTATTTTAGGCAAGCATTCGCTCAAAACATCGAAAGCATTTTTGGAGGCCTTTTAATATGCTTCTATTAATAGAACTTTCGTTTGGATATTCGTCTAAAAATAAACCACGATCAGTTACATTATAACGAAAGAGAATTTATGTGGCTTTTTTCCTAAATAGGTTCTAAAATATTTTTAATGACCATTTTGTGGGCACGGTGAACAAAACCAAGTAATAAAAGATACTAGAAACCTGTGAAATAGGCTACATAATAATGTGGGTTTCTCTTAAATAACTGCATATTTGTGTAGACAAGTAAATAGCAACGATCAAACAAAATAACATACACAGCACCTGATCCAACAAGAGTAATAGCGGTTCATACCCCTTTGACTTTAATCCACCACGCATTTTGTTATAAATTCCTGCTTTGTACGTGAACCCTACGCGCTTTCTGCAATACATTACTGAAGCAAACATGCCTATAGAACTAATACTCACAGAATATTTCCCGGGGACGTATATTGGCTGAGAATGCGAGGTGGTCAGGTTGTTCAGGGCCAGTGACCCTGGACTGGCTGAAGGTGGGGTCTGAGGTGTACCAGGTCCTCCCAAGACCCTCATCCTTGGAGACATCTCCTCCCATTCATGCCGCCTCAACTCCTCAAGGTGGTCCAGGACATCTCCGTAGTGTGTAGAGAACAGATCCGCATATCGGGATGCTAGGCCTTCCAAGTATCCTCGGTCGCCATCCTGTGGACAAAAAAGGAATAATTAATACAAAATTATTACAGCCAATATTAAACTCTTGAATATAAGTATAATTATCCAAAACAATTTGGATTATCTTGGAAAATAATGTTACTTCGGCGCCCAATAGGCATAAACAATGAACGTATTGTAAACAAGAAATAAACTTATTCTAATTGGACAAAGCTTTGACTTAATTTACAAAGACTTTGTTCCAAATGGGACAACCGTTGAATATCTATTTAAAACGGCAGCGAAGGCCTAACACTGAAACTTAAGATAAATGAAAACCAACTTTCTCCAAAAGAACAGCTAAATGCAAGGAATGACGTTGGCCCGTACAAAATGAGAATTAATACAAAGGCGGAAAGTTAAGCCGACCGCGGAACGTTGGGAGTAACAAAATAAACAAAGGCAAATAATCTCAGAGTAAACGAACTCTTTCATTAAGACTTGGAAACCAAAGACATGGGCCGGTATAATTCCCCTGTTGATAAACAAAGCGAGGCGAGAGAACATCTCTCGCTGTCCGTTAAAAGAAACAGTTTTAGAAAATACCTCCGATTCACTTTACATTAGCATAATGGATGACCGAAGCTACTTTAATGCATGTGATTACGTAATTATACTGCCGTCGTAGGAAGGCAATTGCTTAGCAGTGTCACCGACCGGAGCGCTAGGTACAAAGTATCAACTATCTTGTATGCTATAAAAAGACTGAACATTCTCACCAGAAACAAAATTATTTATTCAAGCTTAAGCATCAAGTTGAGTTTCCAGCTGAAAGTTCGAATGGTTGAGTGAAAGCTTCACAAACAACTGAAACGGTCGCGGCCTTGAAATTCTATTTCGAATAGTTACTTGAACTGCGAACAAAGTTAGTTGCGACGACAAAAGTTGTGAAGTTGACGCCACAACACAACAGTCCGTCAAATCGAAAGAGAATCGGAAGTTCATCAATGAAGAACCACACTTAGAATTTAACCGGTCGCGCGTCGAGTCAAAGATGGTCGAGTTTATTTCCATTTTTAAATGAGAGAGCCTGAGAGCTTTGTCGGCGCGAGTTGTGCTCTGCGTTTTAAGTGGATTAAATCGCTCTACGCTCGTAAACCGACAAGTGCTCCAGCTAAGAATTAAAGTAACCGTTCGACTTTTGCATGAGAAAGTGCTCGCGGGACCTTGCCTCGCACTCGCTCGCAATTTGACGCGGTCCACGGTTTATTTATTTTTTCCGTGGAAATCCTGTTCGATTGAGGTTTTAGCGGAATGCCACTGCTTTGTGAATACCGAATGAAAGAAATTCATTAACACTGTCTGAATGGAGTGGCTGCGGGCTTAACTTCAATACCCTCTCTGAATGCCTTTAGTACTGTAGTTAGAAGAGAATTGCCAAAGTCAATCTAAAAGTTTATACCGTTATTCATGAGATATGTGTACTATTGATAATGTGGTATATTTCGTTACAATGTTGGTCAAACAATGGCTATAGACAGCAACGGATGGCTTATGGCTCTTGTACTGAAGTATCATAACTGCTTTTGAATTTAAATGGTAGATTAGACCACGTCCAGTCGTTCAAAGAATAGAAACAGGTCTATTATACAGTTTGCCAACAAAACTGAAAAGGTTTACGGTAAACAACCCACGAAAAGTAATGGAAACAGAACACGAATGTTATGATGGTATTCGTTCGAATAATACATGAGCTCCTCGTACTAGACCACACAGTTGGGTAATATCATTCAAACTTTACTAAGTTAACCACACGTTCTTCAAAATTTACTGGCCACAAAATTTACAGATTTCTCATCGTCACTCAATAATCTAAACGACAGCATCTGTTAGTATCGATGTCAAAGCAGTAAAAAGACAACCTCTTCCCAAATCAAAAAATAAAAAGACCTTAAATAAGATGCCAATGTCATAGTATAACAATTCCCAACCGAAATCTTGTTTCCAATTTCAATTGTTAAACCCGGAAAAACCAATTGTCTCAAATTACTAATTGTTCCGTTGTAGACACAAACGAATTTGACGAATTCAAATAAATCGCCTCTCGAAATTTTATTACGAACAACAAGGAAGACAATTTTCAGCTGTTCACCAAAACGTTCGGGTGAAACAATCGATTGGGCCGCCAAAACGTCGGCATCGAACTTTACTTTAAAATGGGTATAAATTGCGAAACTTTGGAATTATTTGCGTCTCCTCCATGGCAATTTACTTCGTTTTTCCAGTTTCATTATAACAAGTTTAATTGAAGACCGCGTCCGGTGCATAAATTTAAACTTTTGGCATGCATTTTAATCTGCTTACAGTAGTTAGTTTAGGAGGTAATGGCTAGTAAATGAGTTTCTAGTTCACTTTAAACGGTTGGGTCGTTAATAAAATAAAGCTAAGAGTGTTAACGTGCTTTTTGCGGTGTTTGAGGTGGTTTGCAAAGGGCTCGAAAGGCTTTCACAAAGGGGTTTATCTGCATTTTTGAAAGCTCCTTTTGCCTTTATTTTTGAAACAGCGCTTTGAAAAGAGATGAGCATTTTACACGATGTTTACGAGCGAAGAATTGGTAGTCAGTATATTAAATTGGCGAAATTACTTTACGTAGAATTCCCTGAAACTGATCAAGATTAAGTAAGAAATATACAGAAATAGAGCGGTGGATCTATAATCTTCTGATGAAACAACAAATGATCTTGTAATAACGTATTATCAGGAAAAAAACAAAAGTAAAATTAAATTTCACATTCCCATAGAATGATTTATGCATAGAGCGAACATAATAAGCAATAAAGTACTGCTTTAATCAGTAAATTATGCTCATCAAGTGAACAGATGCTGACAGGCTAGGAGTTACTATTAAGGCTATATCATAAAACTGGTCGCGGCCACTTTATAGTAAGTATATGCCAGTTTTATGCCGCACAGAACGGCTCTCCCACATTAAATTAATTCGAAAATAATCGCACGTTTATGCTAGAGCGATATAGACTCTAATCTCGATCGGGATTTGCATTTAACATCGATGCTGTAGGTATACTGTTTGTACGTCTACGCAACAGAAACCTGTATTTTTTTAATAAAGTAACGTAATTATGATTGCATACGTCCCGGCTGTGCCCTTTTTGAAATTGCCGCGTACTTTCAATCTATTACAACCAATTTATGCAGATATTCACAACTACTCACAATAAGTAATCGGTGAAGATAAGATGTAAACACATTCATTTTGTATCGCATAAAACTGAGGAAATTACATTTTTTCCTGGAATTAACTATACCACTTAATAAAACGTCATTTTTATTAAAAAGTGAATGCTTTTCAGAAATACCTGTTTCTTCTATCTACAGAAGTCGTTAAAACATTTAACACAAAACTAGGGTGTAATGTAATGATGATTCTGAAACGCAGTGTTTTAAGCGCACGCTTCTGGCGCCTGATATGCATATTCACTAGAATGTTATGGTGAAAAAGCTTTAAAGTTTTAGTAATGTACAGACATCGTGCACTTACAGGGCAGATATGTACCGTCCTAGACTGCATCTCACTTAACACCAGGTGCGATTGAGGTCAAATACCTGCCTTGTCTTGGATAAAAAAAATGAAATGATAGGGTTATTTGTTTGTAGGAAAATTTAAGTCATTACCCAAGGAAACACAATTGACAGTAATATTCATGTCATTCTTAGTGATAGCGTCAGAAGGCCTTAAGAAACATGCATCCCAGTTACATACCCCACCGCGCAGCTAGTTAGCTGCGCCGGCGCAGTGACATCGCCTACCTTTGTAGACGGTTGTTCGCTTGACGTCCTGCGCCATTACCACCATTGTGTCGGGTTCAATGCCCCGCCACATGAATTTGATCCACCACAATTGACAATTACAAATGGGATCGTCTTAAGAAGTGTTTGTAGTTGTACCAACAGTTATTTTTGTATAAAAAGTAACCTTTACTGACATTTAACAGGCTTCAACTGCATTGTAAATGTTTATCTTAAACAAAGTTGTAATCGTATAAAATCAATAGGCAACAAAGAGGTTATAAATCCAGACTCACATTCTTCTTACTCTAATAGTGATATGAATGAAGATTGAATTACAAAACGGAGTGTTTGTAAGCAATAAATGACTGAGGAAGTTATCTGTCAAAATAACTCAATATTTGAAAGGGACACAATTTAATTTACTGTACAGCGGTGTATCAATGTTGAAACTTTCTAAACGTCCAACAAATTAAAACTTACATTCAAGCAGTTACGAGAAAATTAATATTGTAATTTGATAGCGAAATACACCATCGAACTGTCAATTAGAGATATTAAAACACATTTAAACAGAGAGCTTCCATTATCATGCCCTGAATTTCACCAATTAAGGTATCTAATTAAAACAATTAGATGCCAACGCCCGATGAGGCGGATGTCGTCGATTCAAAATTACTTACAGTTATTTTAAGACAAAAATAACTGTATAGTAATAAATTATTTATGAAGCTCTTAGTACCCATAACGGGCGCCGTTAAAAATAAGCTCAAGTGCACTTTATGCAGTGGTAATAAACGTTACGTAGAAGATAAGCTTTCGGAATGAGGGACTACTAAAGAATCCTGCAGTTAAAATGGTCTTGAAACTACTACGGATAAACCAAACGAAGAATCAATTAAATGGTACACCTAAAGGGTTGTCTTTTGAAAACCTTATTTTTTTAGACTAAAAGATTTTGAATAAATAACATGTTTTATCCGTAAGACTTCATTAAGATACACAATGAAGAAAATTACGCGGCATCAAAAATTCGAAGCACTCCAATAAAAAATACCGATGTCGACTCTAGAATGAAAAAATAAAAGTCATCATTTAAACGGTTCTAAAAGTGTCCCACAATGCCATACCGATCCAATTTCAGCCTTCATTCTATTCGTCAAGATAATTAGCGCCAGTAAAAACAACAATGCAACAGAAAATTCTGTCCTGGTCAATGATTCCGATGTTATTCAGTAGCTGGT